CTGGCCTCCACCACCATGACAATCTCCACAAAGCAGCCCATGCTTGCTGCCTGTGCTTCAGCCCATCCACACTGCCATTCTGCTGCTTCTCCATTCTGAAAAGCAGAGGGATCAGTGGGCTGGCTGCATGACTTCATGGCTGGGGAGTCACATTACTGAGACAGGAAGATCTCAAATTCAAGGCCAGCCTAGGCAACACATCGAGAGAGAGTCAGTCTCAGTCTCTCTCTCTCTCTCTCTCTCTCTCTCTCTCTCTCTCTCTCTTTTGAGTACTAGGGATTGAACTCAAGGGCACTCACAAGCATTGAGCCACATCCCTAGCCCTATTTTGTATTTTATTTAGAGACAGGGTCTCAATAAGTAGCTTAGTGCCTCACTTTTGCTGAAGCTGGTTTTGAACTCATTATCCTCCTGCCTCAGCCTCCCAAGTTGTTGGGATTACAGGCGTGTGCTACCACACCCAGTTGGAGACCCCATCTCTTAAAAAAAATAAATGAGCCAGGTGCACTAGCACACACCTGTAATCCCAGTGGCTTAGGAGGCTGAGGCAGGAGGATAATGAGTTCAAAGCCAGCCTTAGCAACTGCAAGACGCTAAGCAACTCAGTGAGACCCTGTCTCTAAATAAAATACAAAATAGGGCTGGGATATGGCTCAGTGGTCAAGTGCCCCTGAGTTCAATCCCTGGTACCAAAAACTAACTAACTAATTAACTAAATAAATACATGAAAAATAGTTGTGGAATAAATGCATGGTTATGATTGGTTCATCTAAATTACCCCAAATCTTAAATTATCACTTTAAATCCATGATTCAGAAACCTGTGCCCCAAATTTAATTCATCTCCAGCACCAACCCAAACCTCTTCTCCATTCCCTGTCTCAGTAAATGGTCAGACCATTTACATAATTCCTCAAGTTGGGGAGTCATCCTCACTTTTTTCCTCTCTCTCTTCCACTGCATCTAATCACTTAATATGTTCTGCTGATCCTTTATAAAAACACATTTTGTGTTATTCACGCCATATTATTTGCAACTAGAACATTGCCTGATGCCACTCAATACAGGTGGCACACACCTATAATCCCAGCTCCTTGGTGTTTTAACTTTATTCACTATTGCCTCTACCAGTTGCCAAAACTTTATCAAAGCCTGAAGTTACAGACTGGTCTCCTACCTCCAGTCTAATACGCTCCAGTTCAGTCTCTGCACAATAGACAAGATTCATCTTCCTATTATCATATTCTGTTCATTAAATCTTGTGGACGTAAATGAAGACTACCCTAAAGAGATTAGAGAATATTTGTTCAAGACTTGCTATGGAGAGGGAGTTATTCACCATCACTTGCTTTGGGCCTAGACTCCAGGAAGGAAAACTTTATAGTGTGGGTATGGGGTGGGAGATGATAGAGTTTCTGTTATTCTGAGATTGCAGGTTATTTCCCTGGGGAAACCGGAGCTGGTTTGGTTAGAAGCTGTACATCCTATTTGATTGATTTTGGAAGCGTAATTATTACATGTTTTATATTGACTTTTTTCTTTTTTTAAATATTGCCTTTTTTTCTAACAGCATTTTTTTCTGTATTTGACTTATGTTTGGCTTTCTCAAGTTGTTCCTGAGTTGGAAGCAGGGGTACAAAAAATGGGGAAACTGCAGTCATTGACAGAACCTTGATTTTCTGAGTCAATTGCTGTAGATGGTGTGGGCTAGTTTCCCAGGCTGCTTGCTACAGAGGTTGTGGTTCGTAGTTTGTTTTTTGTTTTTATCATATGCAGTTTGGCCATTGTTCATTTATGTATTCACTCTCTAACCATTCAATGATTTCTTAAGATCTTTAGTACAACATACAAGGCCTTTTGTAAAATTCAATTGCAAACAAATAGCTACCTGAGTCACAGCAATGTGTTCCTGATACCTAGCACAGTTCCTGAAACATAGAACCTTGTAATAAATATGTGTGGAAGCATGAAAAGGCTAAGAAAGGTACTTTAAAAATATGTCACACAAGTAGCATTGAGTACTGTGAAATGACAATGTAAGATAAATCCAAAAGGAATCTATTCTCTATTTCCTATAAAAAATTATACTTACTCCTTAGGGGAAATTTTTGATCATAATACAGGTATTAAAAAGAAAATCCTGGATTGACTTTTAATTTCAATATATTTGTCTAATCCTCAAAAGCAAATATTACAGTGAATTATAAAATAAAACCCCACTCTTTCTATAATCTGAGTACATAGAAGGAAAAGAGAAATGACATCCATCATAGTGGCAGATGGCACTGTTAAATCTCCAAATCTTAAAAGGCAAAATTCTATTTACCAAATTTTTGTAACAACAAATTTGGAATTTTGAATTGTAACTATAATACCAAGTACAGATAAGTACTCAGTAAATTTTTATTGTAAAGGATTAAGACATTTTAGTAAAAAAAAAACACCTATTTTACAGATTTAAAGTTATGTACAATTGAAAATTTTTTTGAAAGAAATATCTTGAGATGAGGATATATGAGTTTATATTTGTGAATGACAAGAAAATTCTAAACTTAAGATGTAATGTAATATTGCATATCTAGAAATACAAAAAACATGTTTTAGATTTAAAGTTAAAAATGTGGTAGTATTAACACTAAGTAAAATTATGTGTTAGTACATATAAACAAAAGCAGAAAAATATAAAAAAATAAAAATAGATATATTTATATAATAGGAGTGTGTACCCTTTATCATGATTACATCATCTTTTTAAACATTTTAAAGCAGAGGAAGTATGAAAATAAGAAGTGGGGGAAAGGATGAGAAAGGAAACTGGAATAATTTAACTTTTGTAATGGGAATAAGCAACATTAGCATAACATTTGGATTAAAACAATGGAATATTACTCAGCCTTAAAGAAGACTGAAATTATGACATTTACAGGTAAATGGATAGAGTTGGAAATGCCATGTTAAGCCAAGTAAGTAAATCCTAAAAAACCAAAGGCCAAATGTTTTCTCTAATAAGTGGATGCTGATCCATAGTGGTTGGGGTAGGGGACAAGGGAAGAATGGAGGAACTTTGAATTAGGCAGGGGGCTGGGGAGTGGGAGATGGTGGAATGAGACAGCATTATACCCTGTGTATGGGTATGATTGCACAAATGGGGTGACTATATCATATACAACCAGAGAAATGAAAAGTTGTACTTCATTTGTAGAAAAAATTAAATTAAATTTAAAAAAGTAATATACTTACCACATGAAATTGTAAATAGTTAAAAAAAGAAAAGAAAATGCCACTCAACAAAACATTAATCTTCCAAATAAACATTGCAAAACTGTATTTAAAATTTGTATCATCATATCAACATCATCATGATGTTTGATCTCTATTCACTATTGCCTATACCAGTTGCCAAAACTTTTATCAAAGCCTGAAGTTTCAGATTGGTTTCCTACCTCCAGTCTAGTATTCTCCAGTTCAGTCTCCACACAGTAGGCAAGACCATCTTCCTATTATTATATTCTGTTGGTTAAATCTTGTGGACATAAATGAAGACTACCCTAAAGAGAATAGAAACTATTTGTTCAGTGCTTAAACTCTGGATGATAACACTTCCTGATTTCTTCTTCACTTACCTGCAAACAACTTTATTATAAAATAACTTCTTGGTTAAGTTTAAAAGCTTTTTTTTTTTGATACTAGAGATTGAACCACTAAGCTACATCCCCTGTCAGTCCTTTTTAATTTTTTATTTTGAGATAGGGTCTTGCTAGGTGGCCCAGGCTGGTCTTTAATTGGGTTCCTCCTCCCTCATCCACTAGAGTCTCTGAGATTTCAAGCATTTACCAAAATACCCTGCATATGAGCATGTATTAAGCAACTAACACACTACTACATGCCAGATATGGTGTGCTGGGAATGCCAGAAGCAAAAGTCTATGCCCTCGACAGATTTCAAGGAAGGAAGTGGTGTGGGGTAAGCTTGTAAATCCTTTCAGAGTAGTGTAACGGAATTGTAATGGACATATACTTAGGGCTTATGGATGCACAGAGGAGGACAGACACTTTTCTAATCTTTTTTTAATGCCTTGGGGAGGTGACAAATGGGCCTCATTTTGAAGAACTTGTGGGAATTCATCAAGAAAAGAAATAGAATTGCAACAACATAAATGAAAAACAGAATGGGATAAGAGGCATCAGTGGGGAATCATTGAGTGACTTAGGTAGTTATTTCAAATTTGCATTTTATTCTGACCATGGAGAACAGAGTTGAAAGATGCAAGAGTGGGAGCAGGGAGAATAGCAGTAACCCTACTCAACTGGGTGAGAGATGCAACCGAATAAGTCATTGGAATGAGCTCAAGAAATTTAAAATGTAAAAAAATCTGTAGAACTTTGAGGTTCTTGTTTTCTAATGTGGATGACCAGAAGAATGCTGGTACCAACTGAGAGGGGAATAGTGAGTTCAAGAAGGTCATCTACAGGTTGTTTAGAAGCTAGTTTTATTATATATCTACACAGGTAAACTTAGTGTAATGTTTATGCATGCACCATATAATTTTGTTTTCCATAACATATAAGGGCTATTATTCCAAATGCTCTCTTGGACCTTTTAGGGCTGATTAAATTTAAAATATTTAAGGTTATAAGGTAATACTATAATTCAGAAGAGATCTTTGGTGGTGGTTTTAACTCCAAAATTTATTCTTTTTTCCTGTAAGTTCTCATCTGTTTTTCATTCTCCTCTTGCTATCTTATTGTCATAGATATTTTTAAGTTACTAAGGGAAAATATCATATAAAAATAGTGTGCTTGATGAGATTAAAAAATTTTTATAGTTGTAGATGGACAGAATTCTTTATTTTATTTGCTTATTTTTATGTGGTGCTGAGGTTTGAACCCAATGCCTCACGCATGCTAGGCAAGTGCTCTGCCACTGAGCTATAGCCCCAGCCCTTGATGTGATTTCTTAATTCTCATGATGTAGAATACTAAGAGTTGTATGTTTTTTTAGGGTGCTTTCAAGCCTATGGACCTTAATCGTGTTATGAAACTCTTGGAAGATAATGATAAAGTAAGTATTGCTTTGATAAAGAATTATTCTACTACAACACTTACAAATTTATTTCCCTGACAGATAACTCATATTCTCACAAATGTCTCATTTATCACCTTTTGTTGAAATTTCAAACCATATATATTCTAAAATTCAAGGACTATTGTTTAGTATGAATATATTTAACCAGATAGGGAAGCTAAAGAACAGATTTACTTTGGGGGGATGAACAAACCCATGGTGACTAATAACAGAAGGATTTATAAGAGTAGAGACAGTGTTATCTAGCCTCTGTAAATTGCTTGTTATCAAACAGGATTGGAAGAGGAGGTAGTAAAAAAAAAATGGGGAGTGGTGGTGGTGAGGTGTTCCTAATGTACCAATAAAAATTTTCTGTTTTGAAATTACGGCTTCTATACACACTCGTACATGAACATAGATAATTTATTTTGAGAAAAATCTTACCTAAAATGCAATGAAGTAAAATTATTTCAGACCAAAGACTCAAGGCTGAGAGTTTAGTAATTGAGAAAAAGGATAGCAAATGTGTATGCACACATACTCATTACCACATCTCCTGATGTTATCCAAGAATTTTGACTGAATGCCTAAAAGCCAGCATGCACTGTAAAACTTTATGTAGCCTTTCCCAGGGAAGATTATACATTCTTAATAAGTAGGGTTGACCATGGCATAGCCATCAAAACAAATCAATGTCTTATGAATAGTAAGCACAAAAATTTAGTAATTGTTTTAATATTTTTGGTCTATGTTTTACATACAGGCAAAATAAAAGTAAGAATTTGTTGATGTTGTTGCCTGTGATTTTTGTAAAAAGTTCTTTTAAAAATGTGAATGTAGGTGTTGGGGTTGTGGCTCAGTGATAGAGAACTTGCCTTGCATGCATAAGGCACTGAGTTCGATCCTTAGCATCACATAAAAATAAATAAATAAAACAAAAATATTTTTTAAAATTGTGAATGTATCCACATTTCCTTAAAAGAGAAAAATCCAACTACAGATAGCTCCTATTAGCTGTTAAATAAAGCTGGCCCCAAAACATATAGGTAATGCCACAGCTTTCACAATCAGTTTAAGATTAAAAGGGAAGAAGGCATTTATCTTGAAGACACATCACTATATAGAGATTGCTTTTGTTTTAGTTTTTAGTATATGAAAGATATTTGGTTTGCACATTACACTGGGCAGTTTTTATAGGTTAAGAATACAATTTCTGGGTTCAAATTGCCAAATTTAATTTCTAATACTACCACTTTTAAGCTTTGTTTTTGGATAAATAAATACTTCAGTTTGTGTTTCTTACTCTGAAAAGAAGGATAATAATATCCTGGTAATAGAGATATTTTTTTTTTTTTTTTTTTTTTTTTTAATAGAGATATTTTAAAGATTAATGAGAGACATGTAAATAGTGCCTGTATGATACATGACAAAGAAAAATGTTTAACATATTTCAATATTATTATTTCTGGGAAAAACTATAACTTTAACATTAACTTAATTTTAGTTCCATTTCCTAATCAAATTTAAATGGTATTTTATTTTTACCATTACTGTTTCAGAAAACATTTTATAATGCTTATATTAATTTAATAATTCCTTGATCATTTTAAAGTGTCTTTTTTCTTTTTGAAGAAATTTTTAAAAATTTCAACAGATTTAATAGTTCAAAAGAATTAAATGGAACATTTGTTTTAGGATGATTTAGAAGAAAAACAACTTAAATCTGTCAAGAAACTGGTGCAGTATTATCAGAATGGACTTGTATCCTTTATATATCTTTATGTGTTCATTTATTTTGAAACAGGAGAATTTCCATTAGAAAGTGTATAATTTCCTATTTGTTGCTGCAGCGAATTATTATTAATGACTTAAAACTTGGTGACTTAAAACTACCTTAATTTATTATCTTATAGAGGTCAGAAGTCCAGAATTAATTTCATTTGCCTAAAGTCAGGATGTTTGCAAGGGCTGGGTCCTTCCCAAGGTTCTAGGGGGGAAGTCATTTTCTTGCCTTTTCCACCTTCTAGATGCTTCATGAATACCTTGGCTCAGGACCTCCCTCCTCCCAGTGATATCACTCTTACCGCTGCAGTAGTCATCATATCTCATCCTCATCTCTCTGACCTCCTGCCTCCCTTTTTCCATTAAACTATCCCTGAGCCTACTTGGATAATTTAATATAATTTCCTCACTTCAAGATTTTTAAATCAATCACATTTGGAAAATCTCTTTGCTATCTAAGGTAACATACTCACAGGTTCCTAAGATTAGGTCATGGACATCTTTGGGGAAATCATTATTCTGTCCATTGTACTATTTATTATCTGTGGATAATATCAGTTTCTATAGATTCAGGAAGAAGTGGATGATAGGAGTGCCAAGTTCAAGTCTCTTTTCTACCAATTGACCTGAGCATTGTACCTTTGATAAGCTTCTTAACTTCTCTACCCTTTTAGAATGAGATAATTGTACGTCATGAAGTTGTGAAGATCAAATATTATAACATTCATGCAAGTGCTTGATAATCTGGCAAATATTATATGAATACATTGTCCTAAATGACTATATAACCCTGATCAGTGTGTCTCAAAACCCAAAATCTATCTGTGTATAAGAACCATCTTGTTGCTGAGTAGTTGTTATCTTTTAAAATCTATTGTAAAATACAGAAAATCTTCACAGGAATATTTGGCTGCTATGAAAGTTTTTGAATATCCACTGTCATTTTCTGTACTCATCTTTTAATGGACTTGGTAACATGATTTAAGAACAAGTGATACATAGACCCCTCTTTGAGTAGAATTGACCTAAACCATGTCTGATAATTGTGTAACATGATCTAAAGACGATATCAGTCTAATATTAACGTGTCCCAGGTGAAAACAACTTAAGTCTCCCAATGAAAGAAATGTACTGTATAATTTTATGTAGGTCTTTTCTTTATTTTAAATGAGTTGGTTTTATATGGATCTATTGAATCAGTCTAGAGACTTGTGGATATTAAGCATTTCTTCTGGGAGCCAAGAAAGTCTGCTAGCAAGTGATTCCTTTCCTTTTAACCTGACATCTCAACACTTCCATCAGATTTTCATGGTTTTGTTGTTGTTGTTGTTGTTTTGTTCTTTTGTTTGTTTCTTTTGTCCCCCCCCCCTCCGCCCTTTCATGTTAGACATTTGGTGGCAAATGGTTCTATTTCTGAATGCCTTTAAAAGTAATAGGCTGGCTTTAGAAGTTGCAAAACTTCCCAAAGATAGGGAAATGTATACTTCTAGTATACTCAGTAACCCCATCTCTTTCTAGTTACCTAGAAAAAACCTAGAAATATAGAACTCAACCAAGAACTGTAAGTCATAACTTCTTTGATCTCTTAGGGGTAAAAAAAAAAATAAATGAAATATGTTTTACACCAATAGGGGTTTTTAAACAGGAAAAATAAAAGGTGTTTTTGCCGAAAGATCTATAGAGGCTATGTTTTACTTTCATATTAGTTTTAAATGAACTAAAATCCCAACCATTTTAAACCCTGAATGCAAGAAATGTTAATAAATTCATACACTAAAGTAAATTTTGGATTGCTTGTTCCAGAGCAGTATGTTTATGTGCATGTGGTTGGGAAATGGAGGATATACATGAACCTGATCATTAATTTTTCAATTTATTTTCATTCATTGCCAGTAATAAGTTATTGATCAACTGGATGTATGGTTAGTAGTAGATAATCTTAATTCTAAAATTGTGATGAGAAGAAAATAATTTTGAATAAAAAGTTAGTGAGGGGGCTGGGGTTGTGGCTCAGGGTAGCACACTTGTCTGGCATGTGTGAGGCACTGGGTTTGATCCTCAGCACCACATAAAAATAAATAAAATAAAATAAAATAAAGGTATTGTTTCCATCTACAACTAAAAAAAAATTTAAAAAGTTAGTGAGACGAAAACTAAATAGTACTGCTAAAAATATAGTTCTGAATTTTCCTCTTCAGACTTCAAAATAATAAAAATTAAATGTCTGCCATATCTAATAAAATAGATGGAATTGTATAGATTTTCTTGACAAAAATACTATAAAGAACATGATGATAAAGATATTGATATTAATTTTATTTCTTAACTAAAAATCTTAAAGCCCTTAAGGGATTTAGCACAGATATTTAAAATTCTGAATTTGTGTGCAGGAAAAATTGAAAACCAACCCCAATTTATAGAACCTGCATGTGACATATTAAAATTATGTGGGTAAGTTGTTTTTCTTTATTTTATATTATTATGTAGTATTTTATTGTGTGTTCTAATTTGAATTATAAAGACATGAGGAAATATAGTGCAGCAGAATGAAACAGAAGTCAGAAAATTTTAGTTGATCACCTAATTCTAGTAGTTGATATTTCAAATGCAGTCAATTTAATTGTAGTCTGAGATTTTTAGCTATAAGAGATTAAACTCTGTACAAAATATCTTTGTAATTAGTTGCTCTCATATGAATGATAAATGTTAGATGAAACAAGAACATTGTAGCATATTTAGAGGATCCTTGAGTAATATGGATAATACTTTGTTTCAATCTAGTTCCTCCCCCTTTAGAAATTTTGCTCTCAAAGATATATTAGGTTCCATGTCATGTTTCTATTTTCCAATTTTGAATGAAGAATAATATATCACCAATTATGTTTGGTACATATTTTAAAATATATACTAGTGGTAAGAATTATAAAGTTAATAAGTCTTATCCTTTCTACTATTCTGGAATCTATACATATATAATGCTTCTTTGCTGCCACACAGTGGCCAATCTAGATATATATTACATTATCCATTTTTAGTTGTTCAATATAATATAGTATAGGAAATTTCTTAAAGTGAGAATAAACCAAAAGTTTTGTGTTGTAAACTTCTCCACCAACTTAATTTTTAAAATAACATTGTTTCTTTTAGTATAAAAATAATACTATTAGTTGGATTATATATACATAGTACTTTCTAACTCTCACTCTTAATTTCGAAGCAATATTTAAAATATTGTAACTACTCACATTTAATTGTTTTGATGTCTGGATAAATTAATAAAAATAATTTATTTAATGCCTGCAGCAGGACTTACTTTTTAATACCATGAAAATTATTTTTATTTTTATTTTTTTTCCTTTTTATGTTATACATGACAGTAGAATGTATTTTGACATATCACATATACATGGGGTCTAAATTCCCATTTTGTGGTTGTACATGATGTGAAGTTTCACTGTATTCATATACGAACATAGGAAAGTTATGTCCAATTTATTCCTGTCTTTCCCATTCCCAAACTCCCCTACCCCACTCCACCCTGTCCAATTTGGTGGGAACCCCCAGACACCTATTGTGAGTCAGCATTCACATGTCAGAGAAAACATTTTCTTTTCTTTTCTTTTTTTTTTTTTTTTGTACCAGGAATTGAACTCAGGGGCACTCAATACTGAGCAACAACCCCAGCAGTATTTTGTATTTTATTTAGAGACAGGGTCTCACTGAGTGGCTTAGAGACTCACCATTGCTGAGGCTGGCGTTCAACTCTCAATTCCCCTGTCTTCGCCTCCCTAGCCACTGGCCTTTTGTTTTGGAGGATTGGCTTATTTCACTGAGAATGATAGTCTCCATTTCCATCCATTTACCAGCAAATGCCAAAATTTCATTCTTCTTTATGGATGAGTAATATTCCACATTTTCTTTATCTATTCAGCTACTGAAGGGCACCTAGGTTAGTTCCATACCTTAGCTATTGTGAATTAAAGTGCTATAAACATTGACGTGGCTATATCACTATAGTATGCTGATTTTAAGTCCTTTGGGTATCCAGAAGTGGGAAAACTGGGTCAAATGGTTGTTTCATTCCAAGTTTTCTGAAGAATCTCCATACTGCTTTCTATAGTGGTTGTACAAATTTGCAGTCCCATCAGCAAAGTATGAGCATACCTTTCCCCTCACATCCTCACCAACATTTATTGTTACTTGTATTCTTGATAATTTTGTTATTCTGACTGGAGTGAGGTGAAATTTCAGTGTAGTTTTAACTTGCATTTCTCTAATTGCTAGTGATGTTGAACATTTTTTCACATATTTCTTGACCAATCGTATTTCTTCTTCTGTGAAGTATCTGTTCAGTTCCTTTGCCCATGTATTGATTGCATCATTTAGGGGTTTTTTTTGTGTGTGTGTTTTATTAAATTTTTTGAGTGTTTTATATATCCTAGAAATTAATGCTCTCTCTAAGGTACAAGTAGCAAAGATTTTCTTCCATTCTCTATATTGTTTCTTCACATTATTGTTTTCTGTGCTGTGAAGAAACTTTTTTGTTTGATACCATCCCATTTATTGATTCTTGATTTTACTTCTTGCACTTTAGGAGACTTGTTGAGGAATTTGGCTCTTAAGCTGACATGTATGTCTAGTATGTCCATGGTCTCTGGTCTAATGCCTGCCTAGATCCTTGATCCACTTTGAGCTGAGTTTTGTGCAGAGTGAAAGATAGGGGTCCAATTGCATTTTAAAAATTTATTTATTTATTCTATTTTTTATACATGACAACAGAATGCATTTCAATTCTTAGTACACATATAGAGCACACTTTTTCATGTCTCTGGTTGTTCACAAAGTAGAATCAATCATTCATGTCTTTGTACATGTACCTAGGGTAATGATGTTCATATCATTCCACCTCTTTTCTACCCCCATGCTCTCTCCCTTCACCTCCTTCCCATTGCCCTATCTCCATTACTTTCCTTTCTCCCTACCCCATCCCCATTATGGATCAGCATTCACAAATCAGATAAAACATTCAACATTTGGTTTGGGGGGATTAATTTACTTCACTTAGCATTATATTCTCCAACTCCATCCATTTACCTGCAAATGCCATGATTTTATTCTCTTTTAATACTGAGTAATATTCCACTATGTTTATGTATATTTACCACAGTTTATTTGTCCATTCATCTACTGAAGGGCATCTAGGTTGATTCCACAATTTAGCTATTGTGAATTGTGCTACTATGAACACCAATGTGGCTGAGTCCCTGTAGTATATGGTTTTTAAGTCCTTTGGTATAAACGAAGGAGTAGGATAGATGGGTCAAATGGTGATTCCATTCCAAGGTTTCCTAGGATTCTTCATACTGCTTTCCAGATTGGCTGCACCAATTTGCATTCCCACTAGCAATGTATGAGTGTTCTTTCTTTCCCACATCCTTCCCAACACTTATTGTTGTTTGTATTCTTAATAGCTGCCATTCTGACTGGAATGAGATGAAATCTTAGACTAGTTTTGATGTACATTTCTCTGATTGCTAGAGATGTTGAACATTTTTTTCATATATTTATTGATTGATATCATCTTCTGAGAAGTGTCTGTTCAGTTCCTTGGACTATTTGTTGATTGGGTTATTTGTTTTCTTGGTGTTAAGTTTTTTGAGTTATTTATATATTCTAGAGATTAGTGCTCTAGCTGGTGTGCATGTGGTAAAAATTTGCTCCCACTCTGTAGGATCTTTCTTTACCTCACTGATTGTTTCTTTTGCTGAGAAGAAGCTTTTCAGTTTGAATTCATCACATTTATTGATTCTTGATTTTGTTTCTTATGCTATGGGAGTCTTATTAAGGAAGTTGAGGCCTAATCTAGCATGATGAAGATTTGGGCCTACTTTTTCTTTTATTAGGCTCAAGGTCTGTGGTCTAATTCCTATGTCCTTGATCCACTTTGAGTTGAGTTTTGTGCATGGTGAGAGATAGGAGTTTAATTTCATTTTGTTGCATATGGATTTCCAGTTTTCCCAGCACCATTTGTTGAAGAGGCTATCTTTTCTCTGATATATGTTTTTTGGTGCCTTTGTCTAGTATGAGATAACTGTATTTATGTGATTTTGTCCCTGTGCCCTCTATCTTGTATCATTGGTCTACCAGTCTCTTTTGGTGCCAATATCACGCCATTTTTGTTACTGTTGCTCTGTATAGTTTAATGTCTGGTATAGTGATGCCACCTGCTTCACTATTCTTGCTAAGGATTGCTTTGGCTATTCTGGGTCTCTTATTTTTCCAGATGAATTTCATAATTGCTTTTTCTATTTCTATGAGGAATGTCATTGGGATTTTGATTGGAATTGCATTAACTCTGTGTAGTGCTTTTGGGGAAATAGTCATTTTGAAAATATTAATTTTGCCTAACCAAGAACAAGTAAGATCTTTACTTCTTCTAAGTTCTTCTTTAATTTCTTTCTTTAGTGTTCTGTAATTTTCATTGTAATGGTCTGTCACATCTTTCATTAAGTTGATTCCCAAGTATTTCAATTTTTTGTGGCTATTGTAAATGGGGTAGTTTTCCTCATTTCCCTTTCAGAGGGTTTGTCACTGATGTATACATAAATGCCTTTGATTTATGGGTGTTGATTTTATATTCTCCTACTTTGCTGAGTTCATTTATTAGTTCTAGAAGTTCTCTGGTGGAATTTTGTAGATCCTCTGGATATAGAATCATGTTGTTGGAAAATATTGACAGTTTGAATTCTTCTTTTCCTATCTGCATCTCTTTAATTTATTTCGTCTAATTCCTCTGCCTAGAATTTCAAGAACTATGTTAAATAGAAGTAGTAAAAGAGGGTTTCCTTGTCTTATTCCAGTTTTTAGAGGGAATGCTTTCAATTTTTCTCCATTTAGAATGATGTTGGCCTGAGGCTTATCATAGTTAGCCTTTATGATGTTGAGATATGTTCCTGTTATCCCTAGTTTTTTTTCTAGTGTTTTGAACATAAAGGGGTGTTGTATTTTGTCAAATGCTTTTTCTGCATCTATTGAGAAGATCATATGGTTCTTATCTTTAAGTCTATTGATGGGATGAATTATATTTATTTATTTCCGTATGTTGAACCAACCTTGCATCCCTGGGATGAATCCCACTTGATCATGGTTCATGATCTTTTTATTATGTTTTTGTATTTGATTTGCCAGAATGTTTTTCAGAATTTTTGCATCTATGTTCATTAAAGATATTGGTCTGAAGTTTTCTTTCTTTGATGTGTCTTTGCCTGGTTTTAGAATCAAAGTGATGTTGGCCTTGTAGAATAAGTTTGGAAGTGCTGCTTCTTTTTCTATTTCCTGAAATAAATTGAGAGTATTGGTATTAGTTCTTCTTTAAAGGTCTTATAGACCTCAGCTGTGTATCCATCCGGTCCTGGGCTTTTCTTAGTTGGTAGACTTTTGATGGTGTCTTC